AAAGCCACTGACCTTATTTTTTTGTGATCAGGGAAATTACCTAATAAGGAGTTCTTCAAGCAGGAACATTTCTGAGTATAGTTGCGCACAGCGCAAATGAGAAATGAGCTTGTAAATGCCCATGCCTGTTCTCTCTCCCCTCCCTCTCTCCTAAAGTGGCCTGACTTCCTAAGGACCTAACTACAACTTATAATTAGTTTCTCTTCGGTAGCCTTCTAGCTGCAAGAAGCTTTGTACCCAACACAATAATCTTTATTTTCACCATTTCTGTTTGAGATATTAAGAGTTGATCAGATTGTAGGAGGAGATTAGATAAATTAGGATTTATCCACCAATGGGATATTATATAGCCATGATTATTCATGTTTGTGAAATATTTCTAATAGCACAGGAAAATGCAAATAATAAACAGTTGAGGAAAAACTCTATATACCATTAAAATATGTATATATTTATAAGTGTTAACAGAGGTCATCTGTGATGGTTTTCCACAATAATCATTTAGGGAGAAAAAAACAGTTAAATTTTTTTTTTTTAAATAATGGATCACAAATTTATTGCCATTATTTCCATTAACGGCATGTCCCTGAGGGAGAGGATTTTCTCTCATCTCGGTGTCTTACAATGCTTAGCATGTGACTCTACTTAGCAGACACTAACAAATGTTTATTTACTTGAAAGTATTAATCTCATTTTCTGAGCATAAGAGCATAATACAATACAAGTATTTATTTAGTTATTAGAAAACGATAAAGATTTTCAACACCATAGAGTCTGGTTCTCTCTCTCTCCGTCAATACACTGAAATCACTCTCGATAAAGCACCAATCACCATCTCATTGCCAATTCCAACATACACTGTTGCAGACATTAGTCATCATTTACTTACAAAGAACAAAATCCACTCTAGCTAGTTTAAGCAAGAATAAATTTATTTCACCATATTAATGAGCATACAGAATCATAAGGAAGTCTAAAGAAACGAATTCTTGGATAAGCTTTCAGAGATAAATTCCCAAGACACATTACAGAACCAGGCTACCAAGGGAGCTGCTGATGCTTCTAAACAGGAAGTCTTGGCTCCACAGCCACACATCAATGCCTTTATCAAGAGACACTATAATTAGGAAGGTGCCACAATCAGGAAGGTGCCACCTCTAATGCCACCAACCCCAATGCTAGCTAGAAAAGCTACATTTCACCCCAGAAACTAGTGACGTTTGGTACATCTACCAAAACTACTACAAGAAAACCAGCCAAGTACATCTTTAGTCATTCTTGACAGAATAAACAGTGGAAGCGGAGCCATTGCCTCACCAAAGAAGATATTCAGATGGAAAATAAGCATATGAAAAAACACTCTACATTATATGTTACCAGGGAAATGCAAATTAAAATAACAATAAGATAACACTATGCACTCATTAAAATGGCCAAAATCTGGAACACTGACAACACCAAATGCTGGTGAGGATATGGAGCCTTAAGAACTCTCATTTATTCCTGGTGGGAATACAAAATGGTACATCCACTTTGGAAGATAGTTTGGCAGTTTCTTACCAAACTAAGCCTACTCTTACCATATGACACAGCAATCACCTTCCTTGGTATTTACCCAAAGAAGTTGAAAACTTATGCCCACAGAAAAGCTTGTGCACAGATGTTTACAGCAGCTTTATTCATTATGCCAAATCTTGGAAGCCACCAAGATGTCCTTCAGTAAGTGAATACATAAATAAACTGTGATCCATCCAGACAATCGAAGATTATTCAGTGCTAAAAAGAAATGAGCTAAAAAGAAAAGACGTGAAGAAAACTTAAATGCATATTACTAGGTAAAAGAAACCAATATAAATAGTCTATGTACTACTATGTGATTCTAACTACATGACATTCTGAAAATGTCAAAACTATGGAGACAATGAAAAGATCAGTAGTTGCCAGGGATTGGGATGGGGGGTAGGGTGGGAGGAATAGGCAGAGCACAGAGAATTTTTAGGGTAGTCAAAATATTCTGTATGATACTATAATGGTGGATACGTGTCATACATTTGTCCAAATCCATAAAAGGTACATCACCAAACTCTGGACTTCCGGTGATAATGTGTCAATGTAGGTTCATCAATTGTAACAAGTATACCACTCCTGTGAGGGATGTTGACCATGAGAGAAGCTGTGCCTGAATGGAGGCAGGCGGCATATGGGAATTCTCTGTACCTTCCTTTCAATTTTGCTGTGAACCTAAAACTGCTCTAAAAGATAAGACAATTAAAAAAAAAAAAGAAAAAAAAAACTTGTGGTAGTGGCAATAATGGTCATAGTGATAGTAGTAGCATCAGTGGTATCGTTGCTGTTGTTACTAATATCCTTTTCCTCATTGCCTCTGTCTCTTCCTTACCAAAATCTTGGCATTCCCAGAAAACATGGTGCTTTTTTTTCATGGCTCCATGTTGTTTCACTTTTCTTCTCACTGCTTAGAATGCCTTCTCCTGCTTCTCCTATACCCTCTTCCCCCTGAAAAGCCCCTCCTCATTCATATTCACGTTTTAGATGAAGCTTCAACACCCACATGAAGCTGTCTTCAACTCTCCCCGGTGGACTTTGGTATCTGTTTCTTCAGACTCCCACTGCCTTTTTCCTCAGACTGACACCCAGCAGTGATCTCATTGTACCATAATTGTTTGCAGGCCTGTCTCCTCTATATTCAAAGCAATGAAGAAATCCAGCCTTTCTTCTTCACTTTGAATATAGTCCCTAGCATGGCATTGGGATACAGTAGGTGCTCGGTAATCACTAATTGAATGATTGCATTAGAGGGGTTGTAATATAGAGAGAAGCACATAAATATATACACAATTGGTGAAGAACAGAGCAGTTTTTGTTGTAAAAGAATGTCATTCACCTTTGGAAGCCTGGCCTATGTTCTGCTACTTCCATGAAGTTTTTCCTAACACCTTCAGGTGTCATCTGTGCCACTGTTAATAATACCCTGAATGACACTCGGCCATACATTGTACTACAGCCTTCTTTAATTATTTCATTGCTGATACTTATCTTCTCAACAAGACTGAAAGTTCCCTAAGGATAAGAATCACCCTACATCTCACAGAATCTGGTTATGCTGGTGGCTCACCAGGACAGCAATATGTGTGCTGCCTCCTGGGGGCACCAGAATGTTGACTGCCACCATTAGGCCAGGCCAGTTCCAGATATCAGCGCCGAAAGCATCAACGTGCAGTTTTGTGGCCACAAGAAAAAGGTTAGTTGTAAATAGCTACAGCCATACTAGGGATATATAAACATAATGTTTTCTAACGACCACAATTAATAATCTTCAGTGTAGTTTTGTATTCATATTCTTCCTCCATAAAAAATAGATTTAAAACCTTAGATAGAAGGAGCTTATGACAACACATCTATCCTTTACTTCTTTTTCTGCCCCATTTATTTATTTCCCATCTGTCTGATACCATCTTTGCCTCTGGTCTTTGTTAGAAAGGTCAGTGTTGAACCCTCTCTCTGTAGTCGTTTCTAAGTTTGTATGTGCAATCTTCATCCTACCTGGGTGACTCACTGGGCTGTGGCCCTTTCAAATAACTCCAGCCACTCCTGTTCCAGGCATTGGTGAAATATGAAGAGGTTTTGTAGGACACGCTCTGAAGACCCTCTTTTAATAATTCAACACCAGGAATAGCTTTCTTACGCTAAATAAGTATGTATACTTGCTTTGCAAGACCTCCCACCACAACGCCCCCCCTACGTACACTGCCCAAGCTGGGATGGCAGTTTTATAGAGAACTGGGACTTTGGATAGGAAGAAAATAACTTTCAGGCTGAGTACTGCCTAGAAAATTTTCCCCTTCTCACCTTGACACTGTTACTTCCTGTGTTTCCCAGCAAACTCTCCCTTCCCCCCATGATAACAGTCCAGATTTTCTATTTACCCCTTCCTTGCCCATTATGTGAGGGCTACCCCAGCACAAGAGCAGGCACACACGTGGTCTACAAAGCCACATGTGTTGATATGAACGGGTGAGGAATCGATTAGTCAATGGGTACTCTTAATTACCTGTCAGTGTTCATCTTTTTTTTAGTTGGTATGATAGATACAGAAGGGTTCTTTAGATTCATGGAACTCACATACTTTATTGAGAAACTACTAGAGTAGTCACCGCCCTTCAGAATCTCAGAGGCTGATGGAAGAGACCCAAAGAAAGGTGAACACAGGAAGTACATAGGAAAGAGGAAAAAAACAATAAAGACCAACGATAAGTAGAAAATATTTCATCACTTCTCTTTGGTCATTCTTAAGTGAGGGAACTAAGTGAGGTTTGGGTGAGGAAGGGCTTCACGAAAGCTGTGGAGTAGAGAGTTGGTTGTCACCAACCCCTGTTAGTAAAGAAAGGCTTCATGGAAAAGGTGCTTTTGAAGATATTGTCATTGTCATAGCCAAGAAGAGCCTAAGGAGACATGATGAGTAAAAGTAATTTGGGATCCTGGAATAGAAAGAAAAATGGGTAAAAATCTGAATAAGCTATGGGCTATAGTTAACAGTACGATATCAATATTGATTCATTGATTTTAAGAAGCATACCATATTAATGTGAGATGTTAGTAACAGGAAACTGGATGAGGGTATATAGGAACTCTCTGTACTATTCAATCTTTCTGTAAGTCTAAAGCTATTATAAAAACTACAGCCTATTAAAAAAAAAAAAAAAGGCAGTCTTACAGCCTACAGATTATCCCTGGCGCGGTGACAGGAAGGAGTCAGTTTGACAATGACCCTTTTTTTTTGAAAGAAGTGACTTTGTTGTTAAATGCCATGTTTGTGGCTTGATCATCAATTCGTATAGTGATACTGAGTTCTTGCTTGCTTTCCCATGGTTGATTTTTGGCAGGCGGCAGCGGCATTTGTGCACTGATTATAATTTTGAGATGCATTGTCAGTACCAGGGTGTATAATGGATCTTCATCTCTAATTACTTTTTTCTCCACAGGTGTCTGGAAAGGGTCCAGATGGAAATACACACAATCTCCGCTTTGAGGGGATGGAGAGACAGTACGCATCTTTACCCAGGTAGACCACTGAGGGGTCCCCCACCACCAGCTCACCCACAAATAAAGTCTTTAGAGAAATCTACGTGAGACAGAAATCTGGCTTTCAGATAGGGAATATGTTGTAATTTTGCCTGACTGCCTTCTGCTGCAACCATAGTGCCATTTTCACAACTGTGCTAATAATTGAAACACTTGCGGGTTGTTTTTTAAGAGAAGAAAATAGTATATCATTGCAATTGAACATGTCAGCAAGAATATTGGATACTGAATAGAAATCCTAAGCCACTGCTATAAAAATGGTATTTTAAACACAGGAACATCCTACACCAAACTTAGAGACAATAAATAGCAAATTCCCTATTAGGAGGTACCCATGAGGAAGGGCAAGCCAGCCTTAACCTTGGGGTTTCATGTGGGTGTTACAAAGCAGGAGAGAAATGTGAACCTGGGAAGGTGTTCCTTGCTTGATTTTGAATCTGACCGTGCTCTTTAGGCAATAAGCGAATATTTCTGAGAGGCACAGACACAGTGGGGTGGGGGGGTGCGGGGGGGTGGACAACTGCATGGGAAAAGTTCGCTTGGTGATTCTAGTCTAACATGATCCACTTATGCTGTAACTAGACACCCCTGAAAATGAGATACAATTCTCAAAGGTTTGTGTTCTTATCTGTGAGATGAAGAATAATTTTAGTCTGCTATCAGTAGTGCATGACAAAGAGAAAACCTTTCCAAGATTACATCCAGTGCAGCTACTATGGGAGTTAAATGAGTTGAGAATGTGAGAATTAGTGAATTTGGGGGCAAGGGGCGGGGAGCTGGGGGCGGGAGGTTAATGCCCGCTGGAAAACTGAAATGTTATAAACTATCTCCTTTAAAAAAAGACGGGAGTATCCTAGGTAGAACTTCTTTATCATCAAAGCTGAGGAGTGAAAGTGCTAACTCAGAGCTGGATTTACCATTTTGTAGCGTGTTGGTTATACTTCTGCGTGTAAATTTAAATTTACAAAACTAACGTTCCGAACATTATAATAGGTGTAGTCTAAGTGACCATCTGCTCTTAGAAATGGTATGTTGATTTTCAAAAGTAATTAAATCTCAAATCTAGCTGAAAACCAATTTTTAACACTGATTGGGTGGGATACCCAAAATACAATATTTTAAAAGCTTCTATACCACTCTTATATTTTTTCCATGTTTTCCTTTTTAATATGTGGTCTCATAGTTTTTTCCCACACTTGGTTTCCTTCCTCACCCTATTTTTCCCTGGCCTAGTATTATGTTTTCATTTTAAAAAGATGGTAGTAGTCTCCAAAATTTGTTTTAAATATAAAATTTCTGGCTTTCAATGTTGAACGTATGGAAATTGTGGTTAAGGCAGATGGAAAGTAGTATGTTCTTATGAAAGGGAAGAAAAAAAGGAAAACTGGAAACAGTTTAACGTCTTCCTGGCCAACCTGAACTCAGACTGAGGAAATGGCTTTTTTTTTTTTTTTTTTTTTTTTGGTACAAATCAAAAGCAGAGAAGTAGCACTGAAAATTCTGTGAATTACAATTATTCATTTATTCCCCATATATCTTCCAATCATCTGCTATATATCAGGCCCTAAGAATATGGAGAATGGAAAAACAGTGCCAGTCCATCCCCCAGACCCTGCCGTCCAGGACAGGAGGTAGCAAATCAACCGCTGATGACGATGCAACAGTGCTTAGATTAGTCATTACTAACACAAAGTCCTCTGAATTTCCGACCCTTATTTATTTGTTACTAATAAGCCCTAAAATACTCAATCATGGCTGAATCTAAACAAGTCTATTTTAGGATTAAATATCGTGGAGGGAGTTTTCTGACAAAGGCTATACATTTCTGCTGTTTGTGGCTCTGGAGCTATCATTACAACGTATGAATTGATAAAATCCTGCCAGGCTCGAGAATATAACTGTAGCTGAATGGAAGCATCTTAGATGGAAAACAAATTTGACAAACAGTCCACTCACACACATACACAAGGGTAAGAGTGATCAGCTGCACGGGCAAACAGACCTTTGTAGCTACCTGGCAACTAGAAGTAGCCATGATGGAGAATGAATAGGGCTCCAACAAATGCATGAGACATCTCTGGCACTGGTTTTTAAATGTGGAGCGGGGAGCCCTCAAACTCTAATTTTCATCTCAGTATCTAAAAGGAAGATGCAGAGCACCCTCAACAATGTGCTCCAGCCCATGGGGGTGGGGCTTCGTATTTCTCGAACAAGCTGCAGAATGCAGAAACGGGACACACACTGGCTTCTGAGCAGGTATGCGGATTCGGCCCCCGGTACCCATGACATTTCCCCTGGGTTTCTAGTCTTCCAGGCCCTGGAGATGCTACTGTCCACTTAATTAAATCACAGCAGCTCCACTGCTCTCCCCTTTGCCAGGAGAGTTGGGAGAGTGCATCTCCGTAGGCACCGGATCCCCTCTTTGTCACAGAGACAGGGAGCTTTAAAATATTTATGGAGTTAAATTTTTAATTAAAAATAGGATTACTTCTATCTATAGGGAGTCAGTGGTCAATCTTATAGGGGACTTAATATGCTACTGACTGATTTGGTTCCTGTGTTATTTGTGGAGAACATCACAGGAGTTTTTAAGATAAACTTAATAATGTTGATTTATATGCCAAATTTGGAGCCATTGACACAGAGAGAAAATGCTTCCCAGTGGGCATGGAGTTGGTGAGGAGCCCAGGTCAAGGGGCACCCTGCTATGCTTTCATGGAACTCTGTCATCTTTAAAGCAGGCCCATGCAGCCTGCTGCCAGGCTAAATGACACTTCACAAAATAAAGCCAGAGCCTTAGCCAGCCCAGGAAAAAGACAATTCCTAGCACTTAGTAGTTATGAGATCGCCTGAGGCTAAGGGCTAAGCGATGTTAAGTGTTATTGTTAAGCAATGTTAAATCTTCTGCCTCTGAAGAAAAATGGCTTTATTTCTTTTCTCCTGAGGGTGCTGTTTTGGAAAGCAGAGCATGGTTGTAATACAACCTCGTTAGCAAACACCAGGCTTTTACCAGGGCCAGTGTTTTACCATCCTGTCCAGCCCTGGATTTCCTTTGGTAGTAAATAGAATGCGATCAACATTCCCTTATCCTTGCCTGACACAAATTATTACTCGCCCTGGGTGAGTAGGGAAGGGTCTATTTCCTAGGCTACTATAATGTGAGACATCAGTGTATGCATTTTTGCAAACAGCTTCTTTTTCACTTTAGCCTCCCAGCCTTTTTCAATTCTCTCTGGCTCCGTTCTGATTTTACAGGCTTCCTTGTGGTCAGTCCCTTCAGCAGTGAACTCTACGCTCCCATCTCAAGCCTCCATCATTTCCACCTGGCCCATCCCTGGCCCCATGGGATCCCCTTTTCACTTTTCTACAGATGGCTCAGTGCGTCAGCACATGATGCTCCTCTTCCGGGCTTGAAATAAAATGTAGAGTCCTAAGGAGTGAGCAAAAAGGCTCCACATCTCTTCTGCAGTCCTACGTGCATGGGTGGCAAAAGGTTGCTGAAGAAACTCATAAAACCTCATTCATCGGTTCCACTACAAAATTCACATTATCCAGCCCCAGCTGGGCCCCTGCTGCTGTCCAGAACCTTTTAGTTGTGCTGTCGACTCCCCCTGACTATCCCACAGTGGCCATGCCAACCCTTTTCTACTCCCGTTAAGTTCTATAAAGCCCACAAGCCCCATTTCTAGAGATGACCTCACTTCCTTTTCTTTATGACCTTGAGACGGTCAACATGCGCTCCTCAACTGCTGCTCCCCACAGTTCAGACTTGCTGTGTCTTCTCTAACCCACACTTCCTGAGGGGGGACAATGAGGACAGGACTTGGAATCAGGCCATCAATACAGCCCCATCCATCACTTCTCACTTGTGTGACCTTGGGCCGGTGATCTAACTGCTCCAGGCTCAGTTTTTTCATCTGCAAATTGGGGATGATATTAGGGCCTCTGTATACTGCTGGTATGAGTATTGCATACAGTAATACAAGCAAAACCCTTAGTAAAGAGCCTTCCTGACATATTTTTAAAAAATATATTGTTAGCTCTTTCTAATTTAATCTCTGGGGAAGGCATGTTCTGTGAATGAGTCAAACCCAATGACAAAAGAGTTCATTCTCACTAGCATCTCAGGGACCCTGCACCATCAACCACCTCTGAACTTGACTACATCTTTAAGCCCTTTTGCAATTGCTCTTCCCCACCACCTACTACTATAAATGCAGAGACTCGGCCCCACAATTTGCTGAGAATCCCACATTGTGAAGGAGAGAGCCAATAGCTGCATGGAAGTATGCTGGAGGTATAACTGAGGCTGAAGGATTAGCCAACTCTGGGAAATGACCAGTAGTCTAGATCAGCCATCCCCAACCTTTTTGAGAATCTAATGCCTGATGATCTGAGGTGGAGCTGAGGTGGTGATGCTAATGCTAGGGAGCAACTGCAAATACAGATGAAGCTTCACTCACTAGCCCACTGCTCACCTCCTGCTGTGTGGCCCAGTTCCTAACAGGCCACGGCCCAGTACCTGTCTATGACTGGAATTGGGGGACCCCTGGTCTAGATGGTCACGGGCAAGAGGACATAGCAAGTTGAGATGATCTGAATGGCAAGCTGTTATGGACATGCTAGGAGACAGCAATTTTTATAGATGGGATACAGGATGCTAACTCAAGTCTAGGCAAAAGGCCATGACCCCTATCCAACAAGACTTAGGTTCAAGTCTCAAATCTCCCCTATGGTGGAGACCATAACCAATATGAGTTAGCCAGGAAGGCTGAGCATGATGCTCTTATTCCCAGGACAGATACGGTATGGGAACAGCATTCTGTTTACTGGTAAGAGGAAATCCTGAGATGCTGTTAAGATACTCCTGTTGGCTCAGGACCAGGCAGTGCTGAGCATACAACTATAACGATTCACAGCTAAGCAAGGCTCAGATGGCAAGACTTACCCAATGAACAGAGACCTTCCCTCAACCTTCCT